TCAGGAAGGAGAGGAAATCTGATTGCAGACATCCCTCCTCAGCCATGGCTTTGCTTTCTGCAGTTTCCATTACCTACAGTCAACCCAGGCCCAAAAATGTCAAACGGAAAATTGCAGAAATAAACAATTTCTAAGTTTTAAATTGCATGCCATTCCAAGCATCGTGATGAAGTGTCCCGCTGTCCCACTCTGTCCTTCCTGGGATGTGGCTCGTCCCTTTGTCCAGCGTGTGACACTGTGTGTACACTGCCCGCCCCTTAGTCACTCTGCAGCTGTCTCAGTGAGCAGGTTGACAGATCACAAGAAGAAGGGTGAATACAGCATGATAATGTATTTTGAGAAAGAGGGCAAGACCAAATTCATGTCACTTTTATCATGCTGTGTTCTTATAGTTATTCTGTGCTGTTGTTACTTTCTTGCTGCACCTACTTTATAAGTTAAATGTGATGATGGGATGTATGTGTCAGAACACACATACCCATCTGCAGTGTAGACAGGGTTCAGGACCATCTGCAGTTTCCCCATCCCCCCGGGGTGTGTGCCCCCAAGGATGAGGAGGGCCTGCTGTGCCCAGGAGGAGACCCCTAGTGCTTTCCTTCCATCGACAGAACTGAGTGCGGCGGCGGTGAGAACCTAGCGGGTGTCACATCTGAGGCAGGGGTATTTTAGAATTCCTGATCCGTGATGCCGTTCAGTTCTTTGCTGTTTATACTGAAACCTGCACTGCCGCCTGTCCTCTTTGAGCTGACAGGTTTCCCCTTTACGTTATCTGTCCTCAGAGCGGCCAGAACATGGTCATATGTGCATTTCAGTTGCCCCTGAAATAAGAGAATGCTTTCCAGAGCCCATGAGTGCTGTTCTGTAGAAAGCTGGGCACGCGGGGATCGCTGTCCCTCGTGGGCAGGCCACGTTGGTGGGTGGTGGCACCTCCCACGGCCCCATCTCTGAACTAACCGCTGTGCCTTGTCTTTCAGAACGTCTGCTTCATCTTCCCCCAGTTTTTATACCAGTTCTTCTGTGGGTTTTCACAACAGGTCAGTCCTGGGGTCTTCAGGGACAGGCTGTCTCAGTCTTCCTTTCCCTCCCCCAGGGGGGCTGCCAGGGGTAGAGGAGACTTGGGAATGAGCAGCATTCCAGGATGCCCAGCAGCAGGCAGGGGTGAAGGGTCAGGGACGGGGCGGGGGCCACAGTGCCAGGGAGTTGGCTGGCTCTGGGTCTTCTGAGCTTTGGGCCAGTGATGATGTGGCCTCCCCAGGGCCCAGCAGTGCCAGGCCAGGCCTCCCGACACCACTGCAAGGATTAACTCCAGCTCTGAGGTCCTCATGGGCATGGGCCACCCGGCACTGGCACGTTAATGGGTGCAATGTGCCCATAGGGGAAGAAGACAGTTCCCATCCAGGAGGGGTGAAGGCTCCCCGGGCACCTGCCCCAGACAGACATCTCCTGTCACGTGTACGCTTGTGGGAAGTGACTGGGACGAGACACTGAAGCTTAAAGACAGCAATCAGAATCGCTGACGTTTTACATGACTTTGCCTCCCCTTTTTTTCTTGGAGTTAGTGCTGATAGAATGGGACGAGTCAGTGTTGGGCTTTTCGCCAGCTGTAGCCTTCATCCTGAAATCACAGTGTATATCACAGACCCTGGTTTATGTCATTAAGCTTTGAAAAGTGCTCTGATCTTTCTGTGCATTTCAGTTGCATTTTATGCTTGTTTTGTGATTCTTTGCAAATAAATATATTTAATCTAAAGATCCAAAAAGTTTGTAAAAACGCACTGAGGTGCCCCTTCCTTGCGACTTTCCTCTTTCAGACTTTGTACGACACCGCGTATCTGACCCTGTACAACATCAGCTTCACCTCCCTCCCCATCCTCCTGTACAGCCTCATGGAACAGCACGTCGGCATCGAGGTGCTCAAGAGAGACCCGACCCTGTACAGGTACTGTCCTCCAGACAGCCCCTCCTGAGGGCAGAGAGAACGGCGAGGCAGCGCTCTGGCGGTTCTTCCAGCCGACACCTGGCAGACCTCAGTTAGGGCCAGAGACATTCGGCATCTGCTGACTTCTTGCTTGGTCGGGAGCCGGTGTAAACTGGAAGCAGCATAGTTCAAACGGAGGTTCCTCCAGTCCCGCTGGATGGTTTACGCTGCATTTGGAGCGTCTCTGTGGAGCCAGTTTGCACTTTCCCGAGCTTTCTGATGGTCCTGAGGAAGCCACGGTACAGGCGTCTTCCTCATTGTGACCCCAGGAAACCTGTGACCTAAGTTATTCTTTAAAACCATGTGTGTTCCATCCAGTGAGGTTAAAGAAAAACTAACGGCTCTGGCTTCAGTGTGTCTTTTCCCCCAAAAGGTTTTTATTTTTTTAATGGTATGGAAGAGATATTTTTCTGCTCTTCAGAAATGCCCCCCAAGGTCTCTGGCAGATTCCATATGTTAGTGTTTTCCATTGTCTTCTAAATTGTTTGAGTCCATTTTCGTCTGCTGTGAAGACACACCCGAGACTGGGTAATTTATGAAGGAAAGAGGTGTAATGGATGGACTCACAGTTCCACATGGCTGGGGAGGCCTCACAATCATGGTGGAAGGCAAAGGAAGAGCAAAGGCATGTCTTACATGGCGGCAGGCAAGAGAGTGTGTGCAGGGAACTGCCCTTTACGAAACCATCAGATCTTGTGAGACTTAGTCACTATCATGAGAAAAGCAAGGGAAAAAAAACTGTGATTGAATTACCTCCCAGAGGGTCCTTCCCGCGACACATGGGGATTATTGGAGTTACATTTCAAGAAAAGATTTGGGTGGGGACACAATCAAACCATGTAAGTTAAACTTTTATTTTTCAGATAATTTTAGATGCATTTGCAGTTGTAAGAAATAATAGATTCCGTGGGCCCCGATCCTGTGTCCCTCAGTGGTGACTGCAGTCCAGCATCACATCCAGTGATGTTGCGCCCTTCACCCCTTCCCCCATTCAAATCACCCAGCTTTGCCTGCACTCACGTGCATGTGTGTACATGACACGTGTGTGTGTCCAGGTCTGTGCAGCCTTCTCACATGTGTGCGTGTGTATGTGACGTGTGTGTGTTCGGGAATGTGCAGCCTTCTCACGTGTGCATGTGTATGTGACACGTGTGTGTGTTCAGGTCTGTGCAGCCTCACATGTATGTGTGTGAACTTGACATGTGTGCTTGTTCAGGTCTGTGCAGTCTCCTCACGTGTGCATGTGTCTGCGTGATGTGTGTGTGTATGTTCAGGTCTGTGCAGATGCTTCACATGTGTGCGTGTGTGTACGTGACGTGTGTGCATGTTCAGGTCTGTGCAGATGCCTCGTGTGCGTGTATGTACATGACATGAGTGTGCATGTTCAGGTCTGTGCAGTTTCTTCACTTGTGCGTGTATGTGACTGTGTGTTCAAGTCTGTGCAGCCTCACGTGTGCATGTGTGTACGTGACATGTGTTCAGGTCTGTGCAGCTTCATACATGAGTGTGCATATGTGACACGTGTGTGTGTGTTCAGGTCTGTGCAGCCTCACATGCATGCATATGTGTACATGACACGCATGTGTGTTCGGGTGTGTGCAGCCGCCTCACATGTGTGCATGTGTGTACATGGCACGTGTGTGTGCTCGGGTCTGTGCAGTCTCACATGTACACATGTATATGTGACACGTGTGCAGCCTCACGTGTGCATGCGTGACACACATGTTCAGGTCTGTGCAGCCTCGTGTGCATGTGTGTACATGACACGTGTGTGTGTTCAGGTCTATGCAACCACCTCACATGTGTACATGTGTGTATGTGACGTGTGTGCATGTTTGGGTATGCAGTCTCCTCACATGTGTACCTGTGTGTGTATGTGACATGTGTGCGTGTTCAGGCCTGTGCAGTCTCCTCACATGTGTGTGACACGTGTGTGTGTTTTTGGGTCTGCAGCCTCGCGTGTGTGTGTGTACATGACACACGTGTGTTCAGGTCTGTGCAGTCTCACATGCATGGTGTGTGTACGTGACACGAGTGCATGTTCAGGTCTGTGCAGCCTCACATGCCTGCGTGTGTGTACGTGACACTTGTGTGTGTGTTCAGGTCTGTGCAGCCTCCTCACGTATGCTTCCTGCATCCACCGCCACAGCGAAGACCACTCACTCCCCTGCCCAGGATCTACAGGACCCATGCATGAGCCTCACCGCCCTCATCATACTATTTGGCCAGTCTATGGGATCTTGACAGCTCAGACCCAAAAACAATCAGTGTAGGGGATTAAGGACGGCAATAAGAAGGCAAACTTCTGAGTTCGTTGTACATATTCCATAGTCGGGAATAAGTCTTAACAAAATAGGAGAGCCTATGCTGTTCTAGACATGTCCGAGGGAATCCTGCACATTCTCTCTCTGAACAGGTGTAAGGTATCACATCAAGAGTGGTTGCAAGCTTGGTGAATGTCAGGTGTGTGCCTTGTGTTCCGTGTTCATTACTTTCAGAACCAGAAGCATCTCTGCCTGTAACAATAGGCAGCATCTCTCTGCCTCTGACGATCTTGCAGTGAATGTGAGAGAGAAAATATCCAAATGAAAGTTAGCCAAGGACATGAGTGCCTAGTAAGTTTAGCTGGTTGTGACGAACATTCTGCATTTGTGGCCAGAGCACAGACTTGATGTTTACTGCCCGCGCACATCTGATCACATCGAGACAGTGTCCGGGGTGGCCACCCAGAGCTCGGGGAGGTGCCGGGCCCGGATTCTCGAGGACACACTCTGTGCACCTTTCTCATCACACAGGGACATCGCCAAGAACGCACTGCTGCGCTGGCGCGTGTTCATCTACTGGACGCTCTTGGGACTGTTTGATGCGCTGGTGTTTTTCTTTGGTGCTTATTTCATGTTTGAAAACACAACCGTGACGAGCAATGGGCAGGTGAGTATGGAGCTTGGTCGCGCTGACTTAGCTGCTTAGGAATAAACCCCGCTGCGCCCATATGCTTGTTTTTTCAAAGCAATTATTTCATTACAGCCCTTGCGACTTCCCGATGGGGTCACTCCCCACCTGGGCATAGCTACGGGCCACTCAAAGATGGCGTTACCTGAGTACTCAGTGTCGCTGTTAAGGAAAGGTCCTGCTGAGGTTTTTCAGACTTTATGTGTGTCACTTACAGTTCACCCTCAGCTGATTACCTAGTGGTACCTATGCCACGTAGACCTTGCTTTTTTAATGCGGTAGTCAGTTCCGTGGTGAGCGCGTGTTAGAGGATTTCCCCAAGCACTGTACGTGAGTCTGGTTTAGTTTTCTAACGGACATTCGGCTCTCTGGTTGTCTGCCTAATCCCTAGGGGTTTGTTTTATTTGTATCTTGCTTTTTTCTTTTTGCCGCTGGCTTCCCTTCCCACCCTCAGATAATGACCACCAACACACACATGGTAAGACAATTGTGGGTGTGTCCTTTCCGTGGTTTTGGAGTGCAAAAAAAAAAAAATATTTCTCGAAAATATTTTCACACGTGACTTCCTGTGTGCTTTGTCGGTAGAAACGCTGTTAGCTGCTGCTGCCCTCGCACCTGGAGCGCGCTCTGTGTTAGGAGGGTGCGTGCACATCCTGGGCACGTCCCTGGCCTGTCCCCGCAGTGTCCCTGTCAGGGTTGGCCATCGAGTCCGGGATGTGCTCAGAATTGCCTGGATTCATGGGAGCTTCCCACGACTTTAAGTTAAAGGCGGCACAGGCAGGTGTGGGAGGCCCGCGGGGGACCTGTGCTGCCTGAGAGCCGCGCCAGGCCCTGAGTAGATGCCAGAGACCATCCCTACTTCAACGTCCCAGGTGTTAGCTAACCAAACAAGCAAACACCAGTGCTGACCTCAGAGAAGGTCCCTCTTCAGCAGCCCCTTCTGGGTGACTCCTAAACAGAACTCTGCTTCGTTTCTTGTTTAGCCTGACCTCCCTCTCCCTCTGTGTTTGCCCCTCAGAATGCTGGGTTCAAACACCACAGTCCTGCCGCGTGTCCTGTGCGCCATTTACCTGCCTAGTCGCTTTCATTTCTCACTGCTAAACACCACTGTTAGCCTTCGTTATAACTTAAATCCGTTTTTACCAGGTCAATTTTGAGAATCCATTCAAATGTTATTTCAGTGTTTAAAAAACTTTACATTTTTCTAGAATGTATTCTTTCTCTTAGTTTATTTTAATTGAATAATTCCTGAATACCACCGGGCCATGAACATAGTCAAATAGAGCCTACCTGTTGATTCTTTGGTGTCTTTTATAAGATTTTCCTCCGGGTTGGGCTTAGGTAAGCATCTTGCATGGATCTTAAAAAGAACTAAGATCTAGTGTCCTGGGCACTGAGATTCCATAGACCTTAAAAAGAGCTAAGCCCTAGTGTCCTGCCCACAGAGGTGCCAGGCTCCTGCCACCTGCCAATAGCAACGGCAGGTCCCCTTTGTCCCAGGCTCAGTTTTCCAGCTTTCTCTCACAAGCGTCATCCTGGACCTCTACAGCCACCCTTTCAGCTGGACGTTCAGGTCCTGTGGAGGCCGAGGAAAGCGAGGGTCAGGCAGACTCGGCACCCTGAGCAGGGTCAGGTCAGCTCCTGAGGGGCAGGGCCTGGTGACACCCAGATGTCCAGCACGGAACTTCATGGTGTTGCCTGGTGTGTACTCCGGGTTGTTCTGGTTCCGAATTTCAGCATGAATGTGAAGGTGCCTCCCAAGAGCCCCTGGAGATGGCACCCCTTCGGGGGCGAGGACACGGCCGCCACTGTCCTTGGAAGGCTGCCCGGCCGTGCTCCTGAACGAGGTGCTGGCAAGGCAGTGCCAGGGGCTTCTCTTGGCCTTCCCAGCAGGGCCTCTGCAATGTCTCCACCTTCTCAGGTCCCTGGAGCCCTCACGTGTCCCCAGGCGGCTGCACCTGGTGGTCAGTGGGCACGGTGGCTCTGCTGCCCTTCCTGGGATCCGAGGGTTCATTAGCTCCTGTTTCCCGGGCTCTTGCAGCTGTCCCCTGCAGCCCCCAGCTGCATCCTGGAAGGTACCTTGAGCCCCCACAGAACCCAGCTCACCCCCGGGGTGATGCCAGCACTCAGGGAACTCGAGGGCAGTTCTAGTGGCTGACAGCCCTCTTGGTCCTTAGGTAGCAATTGGGGGTTGGGAGCTCACCCCTGAGAATTTTCCCTTCCAACCAGGATGCTCCTGACGGGGTCACAGTGCAGAGGCCCTCAGGAATTGATTGTTCGTAGGTGAGGACTGCTTTGTTTTAAAGACCTAATTTATTCTATAGGAATGTTCTAGATCCTGTGTGGCCCTAAAGAAACAATAGAATTGTGGACACCTTTTTCACAAGTTCACCAGTGGAGCATTTTCTGAACTTCTCATTTTGATGCCACAAATGAGAATGCTAAGACAACAGTTATTTGTTGAACAGCAGGATATTCCTAGGTAAACGTTTACATGCTTGGAATGTGCTTTGGTAGACGTGGAAAGCAGTGAGAACAGCTGAGACGTGAGCGGTCCGCGTGTGGGCGGGGGTGGGAGGCACAGGATCTGCACAGGCGGGGAGGCAGTGGGTGCTGCTGGCGACCGTGACCTTGAGAAGGCGCAAGTCACGCTTGCCCTGGGAGAGTTTTACACATAAAAGTTAAGTTGGTCTGGATCTGAGGGCTTGAGCAGAAAACTTCCTATAGGAATACTCATCCTAAAGGAGGGAGGAAGTTGGGGAAAGGAGCTCAGCCTGCAGCAGTGGAGGGTGGCCAGCCTGAGAGACTGAGGCTTTCGGCTGCTCAGGTTCTCAGCTGAGATGTGCCTGTCATGTGAGGGTGGGGTCCCACAGAAGTCCGAAACACAAACCTCACCGGGGATGGTGTTGATGTCACTTAGAAAAAAGGGGTTCCTGTGAACAGCCCTTTGAGCAAGAAGATTGGTGTCCCAGTGGTATCCCAGGGGTGCCTGCCACCCCCAGAATCCAATGGGAAATAACGACCAGCAATTGTAATAAACCCTTCGTACGTATTAGTCCATTTTCACATGGCTCTAAAAAGCTACCTGAGACCGGGTGATTTATGAAGAAAAGAGGTTTCATTGACCCATAGTTCTGCAGGCTGTACAGGAAACGTGGCTGGGGAGGCCTCAGGAAACTTCAAATCATGGCGGGAGGCAGGAGGGAAGCGAGAACCTTCTTCACAAGGCGGCAGGAGAGCGCGCGGAGGGGAAAGCGCTGCACACTCTCACACATCCGGAGAGCTCACTCACTGTCCTGAGGTCGGCCGGGGGCGTCCACCCCCATGATCCAGCCACCTCCCTCCAGCACGCGGGGATTATAGTTTGAGATGAGATCTGGGTGAGGACAACGCAAACCACATCATGGCAGTTCACCTGGGGCCCCCGCTTCAGGGAACCAAGGAAATAAGAGGGCTTTCCAGACATGTGTTTCACAATAGCTCCACGGTGAACCACGTCCGAAGGATGTGGACACAGGTCAGTGAGGGGTCAGCACTTCTCGGGGCCCTGACCCGAGAAATGCCTGATTCCGGGGCCACATGGCTGTACTCTGGGTTGAGCTTACAGCTGTGGCCCATGCGCTCTGCAGGGCAGGCATCCGGAGGCCTCATCCCCATCCCAGCTCTGCCATGACCTCCAGACCCAAGGAGCCCCAGCAGGAAGCGTAGAGAGGCAGTATCTCTGCCCACAGCATGGAGAGGGGAAGGTGCGGAGGCTGTGTGAGTTGGCCGTGGCTGTCACCTCTGGCGCCGTTGGTGACACACGCTGCTTGACAGGGCATCCTCCAGTTCGTGTCTTACTTCCCTCCAACTTTTTCTGAGTTCTGTGTTGGGGTGGCCAAGGCGGGGCCCGGGGAGGAAGAGGAGAGCTGGGCAGCGTGAGGGCTTTTCCTCCAGGTCCAGCTGATGTGCCTGTCTGGGTGCAAAGCTGCCCTCACCATTTGGCCTGCAGCGTTGGCTTCCAGTGACAGCACAGCAGCTTCTCGCCCTCCAGCACCGTGCTGGCCACACGCGCTCATAGGCTGCTGCCCAGCCACAACTGTTCCTAGAGCCAGGAAGTCTTCTGCCCCAGAAGCAAAGCCAAGAAGAGAGAGTACTTTTTGGTGAGAGCACAGCAGGCCTCCCACCCTGGCTCTGCTGACATTGGGGCCGGGTGTTCCTCACAGGCCACTGTCCTGTGACTCGGCAGCTCCTCACCCCCACCCAAAGCTAGCAGACCCCACACCCTAGAAATGTCTCTGCCACGGCCAGGCGTCTCCCTGGGTACAAGGCTGCCCTGGCCAAGAACCACAGCATGTGTAGAGCTAAGTGACACTGGGCCTGTGCTTCCAGCCCAAAGGAAGAGGCCCAATTCCAACCAAGGATGTGTGGATCGGGCCCTAGGAAGCAGATTTAATCTGCGAGTAAAATGTTACCCCACTGGCCGTGTTGGAGGACTCAGCCCACACCCTCACCGCAGCTGAGTTGGGGCTGTGATGATAGGTAGACTGTTTTGGTCACAAGTGAGTTTTGAAGAAAAGATGTTTGTATTACAGCTTTTTAATTCTTTTGAAAATAAAATTCCCTGAGAGGCACAGTTCACAGAATCCCACAAACTAGAAATGGGCCACAGTGAAGGAAAGCAGTTTTCGTGGCATAAAGTTTCCAGTCAGGGGTTTCCCCAAGCCAGGGGGCCTGGGGAGCAGACCCTTTTTGTGGCTTGTGCCTCATGTGCAGTGGAGACGCATGTGGTCCTCGGGTCCACTGTGCCATCTTCACAGGCAGGCGTGTGGTTCTCAGGGGTCCACTGTGCCATCCTTACGGGCAAGGTATGTGGTCCTCAGGGATCCACTGTGCCGTCTTCACAGGCAGGCGTGTGGTCCTCAGGTATCCGCTGTGCCATCTTCACAGGCGGGTGTGTGGTCCTCAGGGGTCCGCTGTGCCATCTTCACAGGCGGGGTGTGGTCCTCAGGGGTCCACTGTGCC